TGACTGCACCCGGCTTATCCTCTCGTTATTGGTTGCACGCATCCGGAGACGCCGATGCGGCACTCACGGGTCAAGCTGGTGTAGGTATCATTCTCAGCTCCAAGGCTGAGTCATCGTTGGTTGATTGGATTCCGGTGAACAGCCGTTTATGTGCAGCCCGTTTGACTACATCAGCTAAGGTGAATTCGCGAAGTAAAACAAAACGCTGTTTGTTTGTGATTTCTGCTTATGCTCCCACGGACTGCAGTTCTAATGCAGTCAAGGACACTTTCTATCACGAACTGAACACGCTGCTACGCAGTGCTACTAGTTCAGATATTATAGTACTTGCAGGGGATATGAACGCACAAGTAGGGCGTCTGAGCTCTTCAGAAGCTCAGCTGGGTGGTAAGTATGGACTTAACGCCGAACGGACTGACAACGGCGAGCGTCTGCTGCAACTGTGTGCGGAGCACCAGTTGTTTCTTACTAGCACTGCTTTTAGACACTGTGGGCGCCGAAGTGCCACTTGGCGTCCACCTGTAGCTGGTCAGCGATGGACCCAAATTGACCACATAGCCATAAGTTACAGGTGGCGCAGTTCCATTCTGGATTGCCGCTCATACTGGAGTACCTGTGTCGACTCTGACCATGCCTTGGTGCGCTGTCGTTTCTCCATGAACTTTACCGGAAGGCGCACAAAGCGTCTCCCCCGATTGGCAACGGAGAAATTGTCCCAGCCCCCTGTCAGGCAAGCCTATCAAGAAGCACTGCATAGCGAACTCTCGCTGTCTTGTCCTAATGACACTGAACTTCAGTGGAATAGGATCTCGGCCGCTATGCACGACGCAGGAGCATCTGTTTGTGGCACTATCAGTCGTCATCGCACCAGTCACTGGATATCCGAGAGGTCCGTGAACCTTTTGGAAGCTAGAAGGCACCTCCCGGCTGGTTCTGAACACAATGTGACCAGACGGGCTATTAGGCGTGAACTAAAGCGGAGCGTACGTGCTGACAAGGAAGCCTGGTGGACCAGTCGGGCTCAAGAAATGGAGGAGGCAGGAGCAGTAGGCAATTACCGCAAGCTCTTCCAGCTAATACGCACCACTGGTCCGAGAAAACCAGGCGTCAGTGAGACAATCAGGGACAGCGCGGGTGCGCTGATACACAATAATGAGCGCCGTATGGCTCGTTGGGCTGAGCACTTTGAACATCAGTTCAGCTGGCCCCCTGCTCCCGGACCTCTTCCTACTCAGGTGATGCAGGACGAGCCATGGGCGGTTAGTTTAGAGCCTCCGTCGGAGGCCGACGTCCGAAACGCGATCACAGCCCTCAATCGTTTTCGTGCCGCTGGCCCGGATTCCCTACCACCTGCACTATTTAAGGATGGAGGTGAGGTCCTCTGCAAAGCACTGACCTCCCTATTCGAACGTATCTGGAACGAAGAGAGTGTGCCGGCTAATTGGAGCGAATCGATTATAGTGGCAATATACAAAAAGGGCAGTCGCACAGACTGTGCGAACCACAGGGGTATTAGCCTAACGCCAGTTGTGACAAAATTACTGGCCTCGATTATCGTTCGTCGTCTCACTGCAGAACGGGAATCTCGGATTAGAGAAGAGCAGGCCGGTTTTCGCCCAGGACGTGGCTGTATAGACCATATATTTACTTTGCGGCAGGTGCTAGAGCAGCGCCACGCATACCGCAGACCGACAATAGCTGTGTTCCTCGATTTCAAGAGTGCGTTCGATTCAGTCGATCGATCGATTCTGTTCGAAATACTTGCGCGAAAAGGTGTTCCCACGAAATATGTGAACATCCTTCGTGCTCTATACTCGAACACTAGAGGCCGCGTCAGGGTCTATGGTGCCCTATCGGATAGCTTTTCGACTACAAGTGGCGTTCGACAGGGTTGTCCGATTTCCCCATTTTTGTTCAGTTTCGTCGTGGATTCTATCATGGAGTGTTCCCTTGCGGAATCTCACGATGTAGGTGTTGAAGTGCTGCCTGGTGAACGGTTAGTTGATCTAGATTATGCGGACGATATCGTGTTGCTTTTCGACAATGTTGAGGCGGCACAATCAACCCTGAATAGTCTATCCAGAGTGGCCCCATTATTTGGTATGCACTTCGCACCTTCAAAGTGCAAAGTGTTGCTGCAGGACCACCAGCCACTCGATGACCCCTTGACGCTTACTAACGAGGAACTCGAGATGGTTGATCAATTCAATTATCTTGGCAGCTGCATCAGCAATGATGGGCGCATAGAAACTGACGTGAGCTCACGCATTGCAAAGGCCAGAGCTGCCTTCTTGAACCTGCGTCATCTTTGGCGACAGAAGGGAGTTTCCCTCCGTCTGAAAGGCCGTGTATACAAGGCCACAGTGAGGGCCGTTCTGCTTTATGGTAGTGAGACTTGGCCCCTTCGGTCTGAAGATCTGAGGCGCCTTCAAGTCTTTGATCATCGTTGTTTGCGAAGCATTGCTGGTGTCGGATGGCACCAGCGTGTCCGCAACGATGATGTGCGTAGGCGAGTACTAGGTGGTGATGATCATGCTAGCTCGCTAGAACAACAGATAGCACTGAATAAGTTGCGTTGGCTCGGGCACGTGCTACGCATGCCTGGTCACCGCTTACCTAGGAGGGCCTTGTTCAGTCTACCAGGTGTCGGATGGCGCAAGGCTCGAGGTGGACAGAAGTTGACTTGGCAGCGGGAAATGAAGTCACTGACGACCAAACTGGGTGCCGTTGGTCCGTCTCGCCTTCCGGGTTGGAGCCCACGTGACTCACCTTGTGCTTGGCTCGAGACTTTACAGGACATGGCTCGCAACCGACACCAGTGGCGCGTCTGCTGCCGTCTCCTAATTGGATTGTCTGTTTAAAGTGTGTTTGGTGCTGAGTTATCTGCGGGATAATGGCTGATTATGACGCGTGGCAGTGAAAGCCGAAAGGAAGCTGTCTCGCCGATGCCGCCTTATCTTTGCACGATAGCCAGCTGTTTGTGACGGAATGTTGTTAACACAAGGTGTAGGCGCCTTGACCCTGAATGTTTGCTTAGGGCATTAAGGTTTTCAGGTAAGTCCCCCTTCTCTCCCTCTTCTTATTCTTTATTTCATAGGTCCTCATGGTTGTATGGCAGCGAAGCATCAGTTCAAATGGCTGATGTACTGCTGTTGATGATGATGACCCTGGAAGACGGGCTAGTCCAACTAACGTTAGATTTCAACTAGCTTTCTGTGCATCTTTTCTCTCACTGAGATAACTCCTAATCGTATGTTGGAACCGCAGGGAACGTGCGAGGAGGAAGACGATGGGCTGTTGTTCACACCATCTGACCGAACCAACGAAAGTGCTGTTGGAGACACTGAATTTCTCTTCGAGTACTTGGCCTCTAACTTCCGTATTGGTTTCTTGTTTTTGTATTTTAAAATCTGTGCTACGGCTCATATGGTCGTGTTAGTGACTACAGGAAGTGCCCCTGAGTTCGCCACTGCAAGTGGAATGCGCCAGATTTACCTCATTTCTCCATTTATCTTCAACCTGTGTTCGAAATGAACGCAAGTGACCCTTAGCTGCCTCATTCTACTTCTCCTATGGTCCGTGTCCTGCTGTACGGACTGTGCGAAAACTAAAATATACGGATACTATAGTTCACTTTGTGTCGAATGCAGCTGCGGTCCGACCAGTGTTACTCTTCTAGTTTCGCCGGCACCTAGCCTAGAGGTAACGAGCCTGTCTCGTAATCTTACGGCGCGGGTTCGAGCCTGCCTAGGGACAGGATGACCCTCTCCATATCCTTAGCCCACGTGCGATTGGTGATGATTGCTTGACAGCGAAGCGTCTGTACTGCATACCAGCGTAATTCTAATGCCTTCCTTCTCTTTTTGCTAATTAGAAACCTGTTATCTATCCCGTGGGGTCACCGATGCCTGCGCCGTCTTATGCATGGTGGAGTAACCAACTTAGTGACGCACTTCGTTATCTATCGTTTGATAGACGGCCCCTTAGCTTTTCATTAATCTGTTGAATCCGAATAGCTTCGTTAACTCGACCATTTGCTCCGGATGCATCGGTGCGTATTGTTCTATACCGTGCACAGCTGTGTGAACCTCGATATGGTCAGTCAACGACATGGTAGCTGAGGATGGCGAAATTTGCCCATATGCTGAATTGGGTTGGTACGTGTCGTCTGCTCGGAATCGACCATGTCATTGGTTAAATGCTCTATCAGATTTGCTGTGGTCACTGCGTTATTGGCGCATTTGCACTCGTTCCTTTAGTTCTGGCCCATATGCACTCTGACTAGTGTCCTTATTCTATGCTTATTCCCCTTGCACCATTATTATTTTTGTTAATATCATTTCGGTGATGTGTGTCGTGGTAACCTGATTCATCATATCTCGATGTGGACATCATTTGTGGAACTGAACTGTATGCAGTTTTTATGCAAACGCTGCTGAATGGGCTGACGCATATTGCCGCACGTTTTGGTATGTACGTTTTCCCTTAAACCTTAACGTACCTTTACGCCTCTAGTTACCGTTCTCATGGATTAAGCGCTCGAAGTCGTTGATCGATTTACTTATCTGGGTAGCTGCATCGCTTGTCGTTGTCATATTACCGAAGAGTATACTGCAAGTCCAATTCGTCGCCTCCCTTATACCCAACGCAGCATATCTCGGGATATTTTTCAGTCAGGCACCCACTAGCTGCTACTGACTATGGGTTCAATCACAGGCGCTTAACATTCTCACTCCCAGTCCCCTCTCTCTTTTCAGTTATTTCATTTTTATATATGTGAACTAAATAGTGAGTCTTGTTAACCCCTATGTTCTCCACGCACCACATTAGAGTGATAGATACTCGATATTGATACAGTTAAACTCGAGCTAGAGTTTACAACAATGCTTCGATTTACTGTATTCGCATTATCCCTGTTGAACTCTCATCCATAAACGCATCAAACTTGTTTGTTGTAATCTATCTACCATGTGTTGAAAAGATTATCTTCTCCTTTCCAGTCAAACGGCAAATGTAAAGTCATATCTCTTGTATCAGGCATGAGGCAAACATATGTGTCGCACCAGCCTTTGAAATGGAAAGTGACGTGGCATCATATTCTCGACGATCTCTTCAACCTTCCAACAGTTTGAATGTGAATGTCAACCGACCATTGGATACCGTTAGTCGCAATGTCACCTCACACGGACCTGTTTACCTTCTTCCGCCTGAGTTATTGCTGGCTATTTTCGAATTGCTTCCACCGGTGGATTTGTTACGACACGTTCCTCTGGTGTGTCGTCTTTGGCATGACCTATCCTTGAGTGCGACTCTTCGCACTCGCCTGTGTCTACGCAAAGATACTCCGCCAAATGTTCTGTTTCAATCGGTTGAATCGCGGCCTCTTCTGCGTGTTTTGAGGTGCCCAGCTTTGTGCAGGGCTCAATGTCTGTTACCAGAAGCATTGCAATTGTGTCAGTCGTTGCAATGTTTAGATCTTGGCTTTTGTGATCTTAGTGAAGAGACTGTCGATCGACTTGGACAGAATTTGCCTCCCACTCTGAAGCATCTGAACGTAGAGGGCGCGAAAGCAATCGGAGTAAGGATAATTGATGCCGTTTTACACATTTACCCCTTCTATCTGTTTGCATTATCATCTGCCTCACTTTACTTGAAGTATACTTCATCTGACACCGATTAGACAAGCTGTCTTCCACACATTACCACGCATAGCTCATGTTCCCCCACTTATGTGGTATGGGGTGTGTATGTATCACAATATCATCACCTGTACCAGAAAGTAGATCCCGTGTGTCTTTCACATCGGATGTGTCAGCTACAGGGCTTCTGTAACCATTCGTTCGGATTTGTTTTGATCACATCGGACTGATCGGACTACTTGTCTTACTTGTGCAACAGCTCTTTACCCATTCCAGTCGCTACAGGGCTTACGGGTGGTAGTTCTGTTCGCCTGATTTACGTTGTTTCAATTCGGTATGCTTCCGTTACCCACTTATACTCCGAGAAGTGGAAAGCGGTCTGTTTAGCAGCGTTGACAATAACATTGATAACCATTTTTATGTATGTAGATCGTGTTAGGATTTCAATTAATATCAAATGATCAGTAGAATAGCTAGGTAGCACACCTGATCACAAAGCACTTAATCTCGACACTTAGGATCATGTAAAGGAGAACGCATGGTATACACAACTATGCACAGGATCAGCGCAACAATTCGTTGGGTATTTCGAATGTGAGAAAGCTTTTATCAACGTGTTGACTACAAAATAGTGTTAAGCGTCAGTTACATGGTTTGTGCGGTTCATTTACGTTACCCAACCACTTGTGGCCCTTTGGCATCAGTTATGTGTAAGTGACATTGCAATACCAATTCTTAGCGATAATTTGACTTCTTATGCAGTATTTTTACATATTAAGGATGAATGAAGAACCCCACGATGCTAGCACATAAAGACCAAAAGTTGTATTGGCCACAGCGTTTTGTAGTATCACCAGCATGCCGGTACGCAGTACCGACGCTTCGCTGCCGGGCAACCACCGACAGTCGTGCGTGGGCTACGAATACTGCGAGAGTCCCCTGGTCTCTTATGTTGGCCCGAACCCGTGCCCTCGGAGTATAAGGCACGTTTGTGATCCTTTAGGCTACTGTACGTTTTGTAGTATACGGAGAAGTCAGAACCGGACCGGCGGAAGCGGAATCAAGACCTTGAAATCAGGCTTTGTTCGTCTGTGAATAGAGACGAGAACTAAGAGTGTAATGGATGTGTATGGTGTAGTGGCAACCACTTTCTACCCTATAGATGTTTGGAAGAAGTCATTTAGCAAACAAAGGTTGTCTTGGAGCGTAAGCAGTGTATGGAAACAGTGTTATTGAGGATCTGCGACTCGTGGCTAGTGATATTTCATGCAAGAGCAAGAGCTACTATTTAAGCCCCTCTGTTTCTGGGGGAATATGAATGCACGCATTGTTCAAATGCCTCAAGTTCGCTCCTTGCGGACAGCATTGCTTGAGAATGATCAGGAAGCATGTCACTTTCGCTGCATAAGCAAGCATGTTCATCTTCTTTAAGTGCGATTGATTCTTCTGGACCGATGTTAATCTTATTACCATGCTCGAGCAGGTGTTCTCCCGTGAGTACCGGTTGTCAGATTGATAAGGTCTTCTCCCGTTTGAAAAACGAGTATGTGCGTATTAAGGGTCACACTATAAGTTCCACTTTTTCTACCAGAGGATTGAACATGGACGGCCGGACCCGGTGATGACAGCCAGGTAAGAATATAAAAGAAACACAAAGATCTCCGATTATGTTCGGAAAACTTATCGTGCTGAGTCGCGTTTGTTGCAGTGCGCAGAAGCGATCGAATAGAATGCAAGGCTTTAAGTACGACAGTATGCCATTGATCAACTGGAAGATTACGGGAGTGTAGGGCGAAAGTAACGCCTCTCCCTAACCTTCCATTCAAGCGCTCGATTTGCCCATTAGCTTGTGGATGATATGCCGTTGCTCTACTTTTTGGTATTTCTTCCTTATGAAGGAAGTCAAGAAGTTCACACGGTATAAAAGAGAGAATCTGTCTCTGACTGAATGTAGGCTCATATGTCGAATATTTCTGGTGTGAGCCATGAGCGAGGCCACTCGGAACCACTACAGAAGCGACGACGGGTCCTGCAGAGACGGTAGGCAGAACCGGCGCAGCTTTTGTAGGTACGCTGAATTCGATTTACTAACCGTGTGCTTGCATGCTAAGTCTCTTTATTTCAGGTGCTGGGTTTTCAATTTTGCCTTAATGCTTTTCTTTCTCATATAAATGTCTACCTGTACTCTATTCCATTAACTTGCACATCTCGCTTAAGCCAATTGTATTCGATTTCCATAACATTTTTGTGTTCGTGGCATTTCCGTAAAGTATACTTTCTGACCTCGCGAACTTATCTAGGATTCGTTTGTAAACAACTTATTTCATATGCTCATTAACTTAAGGTTTATGTCACCGTTTCCCTATGCATTAATCGAGTTATTTTCTCTGTATATCTCTCTCTCTCTCTCAAGTGATTGATTGTCGCTTGACAACGCCGGTGTGACTACGCTTGATGTGCATGTTGACAAGATGCCTACCCAAATATTACCCACTACCTCGTCCATACTGGCTCCAGGAGACAGTTGGTCGTTGCTGGAGGGGACAGGGTGCACGGTCCTTGTGGCCTTTGCTAGGCTTGAAGCGTGGTTCCATGCACTCAGTGTGAAGCGGACTACGGTCCAGCCACCGCCTTGTCTGCGCTTGATTCCCAAATACAGCGTGCTTATGCTTGCTGTGAAGGAGTGTGGGTCGGCTCCGTTGATGAAACGTGGCTCCCATCCGCATGCCTCCCGGTCTTATTCTTTCGGGTTTACACTGGATATGGGGTATGTGGTTGGAGTTGCGGGTGATGCAGCACAAGCCACCTATGGTCTCTCTGTAGGCGCAGGCGTCCTGTGGCACGTTGACAGGCAAATCCGAAACCGGATGCCGCCAACCATGTCAAATATAGAAAGGAGCTGGCAAGTAGCTTATCACAGTGCTAGAGGTCAGATCGAAGCATGTAAACACGAATTGCAAACGAGAAATCGCCTCCAATTTTTAGTAGCCAACAGTTTCTAGATTTTATGTGGAGTAGGCCTTTAAAGCAAACATTGAAGCATTAAAATGGCTGAATTGATTCCACCAGCTCCCCCAAAGGCGTTGATGAAATCTCGGCTTTCCGCTCACAATTTCAAATCACGGACTTTATTTCAGCCACAGAATACGGCAGCTTTTTGGCGCAGGCGAGATAAATCATGCGAATTATGCCCGCATAAAGTTGTTTTATGTTCAGATTACCAGGCGAGCTACCGCATCAGGTGCGTGAGAATATGCCTCCGTGATTGAGCCTACCGAGCTAGTATATGGCATATTAGTGGAAGAGGCACAAGTTTCAGCCTCCCACACTGCATTATATCGTACTATTATACATGAAAGCCACAGATTGTTGATCTGTGACCAGCCTGAAGTAATTGCCAAGTAGTAGGTGCCGCCGTTTTCGCACTGCATCAACGATTACGTAGGCTTCTTTTTATACCGAGGAATGGCGCTTCCAGTGGAAGCTCAGATGCGAGAAAAGGTTATTGGCCTTCCGTCCTGGCTGCATTCGAAGCATCTGTTTAGGCGACTAAAGGTACATGAAGGTAGACAGTGGTAACTGTGGCACTTTTCAGTTCTTTCTTTAAATTCCTAGAGAGATTTTGGACAGATAGTGACATTGGAAATTCTATTTTAACGGAGAAACATGGTACCCATTGAGAGCAGTAAGCAAATGTCTATGTCACTCAGTATCGAGCCTTGATGTCGGTGGGAGGAGACAATTATTTTGAGGGCCTCAATAGTTCGGTATTAGGCTTACTTGTTTCTTTCAACACTTCATATCCGAGTAGTCCAACCTGCCTAGTTTTGAACACACTTTTTGTGTCATTGAAAGTGATACCGTACTTTGGAGCGACGTTCAAAAGGCAATGTAACTGCTGTCGATGTTCAATAACATTTTTCACAAACCATGACGTCTATGTAGACCAATGTGTCTACCAAATTTGCTTTGGAGATTACTTCATCAGTGCTTCTTTACAAGCAAGAGACTCCATTGATTACTCCGAAAGCCATGCGACTGAATTGATAAGATTTTCCACAGGTCTCAAAAGCCGTATGCAGTTGTTCCTCAAGTTTGATGAGAAACACTTTAAATCCAAGATACTGTACGTTTCAAACGTAGCCATCTTCTGGGTCATTTCGTCCAAGTTACAGAGAGGATAAACGTCGAGATGTGTAAATCGGTTTATTTTTTGGCTGTATCAGGACAACGCAGATGTAACTGACGTATATAGTAAGAGGCAAACGTAAAACAGCCGCTCAGAACGAGACGGAAAAGTCAGCGAATCGATCAATCAGCATTGAGCGAAGTTCAACCAATCAGGGCAAGCTCAAGACAGTGAATCACAACACCTCTTTTCTCGTCGGAAAATTTGCTTTATGCAGGTTGGTATCGGTCAACTGGCTTTGATGTCCGTCCGGACCTGCGTAGTTCACGCGACAGTGAAGCCTCCTCCATCTGACTTTCACACGTGTCTTTGCTGGACTGAGAGACCTGTCCACGTGCTGTATACAGCCAACGGGGGCTGACCGTCAAGTCATTTTCCTATCGCTACATGCCAGGCTCACATGCACGTGGGGTTCTCAACAGGGCAGATAGAGTTGGTTGATCCTTAAAGTACTTCGATTTTTAACCCAAACAATGGATCCCCGCTGCGTGGGAATCGAAGATCTGGCGTAGGATTCTTGGTAGGTTGCTATGCGGTTCCGGATACGTAGAAACCAACATATTGTGTGCAGTATTAGGTTTTGTGCGTAACGGTCTCTCGAGCATTAGTTCCATCGGCCTTTTCATTGTGGCTCTATGTTCACAGTTTCTGTAAGATGGCAGCGCCGTTAAGACGGCATCTTCCCATTCTGCCTCCAATTTGGATGGCATGTATTACCTCCTTAAGAGATCGGTTAAGCTGCTCCACCAT